TGGCACCACGGGCCACCCAGCAGCACAAGGAAATTTGGGCCAATGACCCTTGTCCCATGGCAGTGAGATCAAGCAGCCCAGTCAAAGGTGGGGCTCAAGCTCAGGCCACCTGGTCTTCCACGTGAATGGTGGAAAAAATACCCATTGTTGACTTATCTTTTCACAGCTCTCGGCTCGTCCCCTAAAACTACCCCTTCAGGTCACAAGGGCCTGAATTATTATCCCCATTTGATAGAAGAGAAACTGAACCAGCAAGAGGAAGTAATCTCCAAGTGCCCCCATAACTTGAAGGCTGGCAGGGCTGACTGCGTGTCTCAGACCTCTCCTGTCTGGTCCTACCCTCCAGGACTGGGGATAGGACCAGTCCGGAGAGGGTGGGTGGAGCTCTGTGCTGCCAGAGTTCACCTCTTTGACCTTAGAGAGCAGAGCCTTCCAGGTTAGATTCCTGGAGCACCTGCAAAAGGCCCAAGCCAGAATCTCAGGTTTGGGTCGGGGCAGAGCCCTGGTCCTCGCTGCCTCAGGCCTGGCCTTGGGGAGGGAGAGGGATGGTGGGAGGGAGCTTCTGCGGGACTTAAGTCGTGAAGTGACACACCCCAGCCTGGAGAGAGGGAGGCAAGAAGCTCTGGGGCCAACTGGGGGTGGCCGCATGCCATGGCCGTGCCCCAAGTCCACTTAAAGACAACCATGCTGGGAGCCAGAGGGAACGAATGCAGGGGAATAATTCATCACCAGCTCTCATCAGAGGGCAACAGATGACAGAAACACTGTCTTCCTGTCTTTCCAGGGGCATCTGGAGAGAGGATAGGCCGGGTCACGCAGCCAGGGTTGCTTCAGAAATCACATCTCTGGGAATTACATGACAGGAGCCAAAGCTTACACAGGGCTGTCTCCCCCTACTGCTGGGGTGTCCGACGTGGAAAGGGTTCTGGGGAGAGGGGGCAGCAGGAGCTAAAGCTCTGTCCCAAGAAGAAAGCATGACCAGGGGCAGAGGCCAGTGAAGAGCAGCGAAGCCTGCCCGGAGAGGGGCCAGGAAACCACTACCCCCCAGCATCTGTCCCTGGGAGAGGAGGGCGGGACGCCAAGCACCACAAACACAGATGGCAGGGATGCAGCCACACCTGCCCACTCCTGGCTGAGGCTTTCAAGCTATCACTTGCAGTGAGACAGTCCGCACCAAAGCATCCATAGTCCCGGCTCAGCCAAGAGTGAGGCAGTCTGTGGCCAGGGCTAGTGACCCTCCTGCCATTAAGGTCAGGTGACCTACCTCAAAGGAGCACCCTCTTGGGAGGGTTCTCAGGGAGTTGATGACTCCATCAGTCACTCCTGGGCTCCTTGCCTTCCCTAAGCATCTCTGCTCCCTTGGAGGTCCCCTCTTGGCCAAGCCCATGGAGCCTTCTCTGAAAAACAGCGTCACCCGAGGGACAACTCCTCTGCTGATCTTGGGAAGGACCCTGCTTCCTTTCTCAGGTTTCCTCAGGGACAGGCAGGTAAAGTTCAGGTTTCCCCTTCTTGACTAGATTCTCTGCCAGTAAATTAAGCCTGGCCTGAGCAGCCAGGCTGAGTGAGTGGGGTTTCTGGCTACCTGGAAGGGAGGCTGAGACAGAGCTGGCAGAGACTGTCAGGACCTGCTCCTGGGATTTCACTTGGGAATTTCCATTGGTAGAGAGCATGTCTTTCTCTTTCCGCACCTGGCAGTCTCCCAGAGCCACCTGGCCATCCCTGAGCCTGGTGGAGGTGGCAGCCTGCGGGATCGGGGCTTGACGGCACAGACTCCTCAGGGACGCTGCTGTGCGCGCGGCGGGAACTCTTTGCTGGCACAGCACTGCCACAGAGGTGTCTCTTTCCTGCCTGATCTGGGTGGAAAAGCCTGAGCTGAGCCCAGGGTGGAGCTGGAACCATGGAAATGTCCCCATCACATCCAGGGCCGGGAGGGCAGAAGGACAGGAAGAGCAGAGAATATGCTTCTGGGCCGAAGTTCACGTTCTTGGAAGCCTGAACCCTGGCTCCTGAAAACAACAACCCTCCCCTCCCAGAGGCTTTCTCCAGCCTGTCTCCAAATCTCCTGTCCCATGTACAAAGCCCGGGAGAGGCCACAAGGCCGGCCTCCTGGTGTTGGACCATCCTGCCCAAGAACTGCAGGGCAGAACCGGGCACCCACACGGCTCACTGAGTGCATCTCTGCCCTCCTCTCTCCGGAACTCGGAGCGTGGGACTCAGCCACTATATCAGAGGGCTCACTGAGGAGCCCAGAGCTCTTCCAGACCAGGCTATGGGTGGCCATGCTCTCAGGGGAGCGCTGTGTCTCCTTCCCCTTGTACCTAGCAGAGGCCGATGTCCTCAAAGAGCCACAGTGGCAAAGGCAAGGCCAGGATGTCCTCCCTGGGAACCTGCCTTTGCAATGACTCCAATGGGGGTGTGTTACCAGTTCCCCTCCATATTCCTTTTTCTGGATAATTCTCCAAGGATGCACCAACCTCACGCTGAGACAACTGCTGTGTCTCTCTTATTCGCTACTATTTTTAGATTTGTGAATCTAAGGGATTCACGTCAAATCTAAGGGATTTGTGAATCCCTTACATAAGTGCCAAGCTGACTTAGACCGATGGGGAGTGACTCCCATCATGCAGTACACCATGGTGAAAAAGATCCCAAGATCCCATCTGTGCTCAGTGGGAAAAAATGCTGTGACCGCTAAGCGACGTCTGTCACGGGCGAGGGACTGGAGAGTGTGGCGCGTGTTGTGTTCTGTCTTTTCTGATATCGCACTGCAGACTTTCAGAAGCACTCTCACATGCGTCACCTCATTTGATTAGAACAACACTGGTCTAGTAATGATGAAGCTCATTATTCATTTATAAAAGGAGACATCAGGAGCATGGAAGTTAAGTGTGTCTTTTCCTAAATCACCCAAGTGAATTAGGGCCAGGGCCGGGATTAGATTCCAGATGTCCTGAGTCTGAGGACTGTACAGGGAAGACACTTAGCTCAGGGAACACTGGAGTCCAACAAGCCAAAGTGTTCGCATGTCTTTGGGAAAACAGTGCTTAGTAAATCCTCCCCAGGCTTGAAATTTGCTATTCTTTATGCATATGTGTGGGATGCTGGCAGGAACGCGGAGTGTGGAAAGGGGATGGGCTGCCCACGCTGGAGCCGACTGCCCCTCTGGTTGCTTGTAACTTAACAGTGGGCAGTCCTTTCTCCGATTATATCAAATCAGCAAGGCACCCCAGGAAGAGAAAAGGGACCTTTCCAGAAACATCTGTAGGGAGCCACTCCAGACAACTTATTCAGTTACCATGGAAACCCACCCTTGCAGACTGCTTCAGTTTTAGGAAGGTAGCGACAAACAATAATAAGCATAAATGAAAAATGGTACATGTTGCTTCAAAATTGTACTTGTTATTGGATTTGGTCGGGTTTTCGAGACCGAGACGTCAGGCTCATATCCACGAACACAGGGAAAGGCAGCTGTCTGCCTGCCTGCAGGCCTAACGACAGAGCCCACATTCCCCCTCCCAGATCCCTAATCAAGTTTCTGGATGTGACCTCCGGGGAGGCATTTATCAGAGGAGCTAATGTCTGAATTGTGGGAGGAAGGAGGATGTGCCTTGCAAAAAACAAAACATTTGCTGAGCCGACAGGAAGGCAACATGGCGCCATGTGGAGGGAACCTGGACCAGGCCAAGATGTTGCTACATGGGCCTGAGCTAGAAATCCTTTTAAGAGATCAGGCTGAGATGGGAATCTCTGTTCTGGTCTGTTTTCAAGTACTCTCAGGGTTAGCAAGGACCTTATAAAGATGACCTGGTCCAGCTCCTCCCACATGTGATATTTACATTCTCTGGGCAACATCCTCACCAGTTGATTCATGAGTCTGTGCTTGGACTATGCCAAGAGTTAAACCATTTTTCCTGACACTGAGCTGACATCTAACTCCTCGTAGCTTCTACTCACGAACAAAGCAGACCCCTTTTGTCAATGATAATCCTTCAGCCACCCGGAGCCATGCTCCTGATGCTTCTGTGTTCTCCATGGGGCAGACGTCAGTGATACCCTCACGGCCATTCTCCTCAGAGAGCTCTCAAAGTGAGACATCTGAGGTGGAACCCAGACCCTGAGACTGTGTTGCTGTGGGCTCCTAAACTGTACTTCAGAAATCACTGTGCATATGCAGGCCTCTACACCTTCAATCACTACATTTATCCTGGTACCTGCTCTCTGAAAGCAGATAAGGAAGGCAAGGAAAAACAGTCTTCCCTAGGGTATGCTATACCACCTGTTAGATGTTTCCTGGGCCAGAGAATCCCCATCGCACAGGTGAGTAAAACTGAGGTTCCATGAAGGGGCTGACTTGCCCGTGATCACCCAGGAAGAGAATGGCAAGGCCAGGACAAAAGCACCGGCATCCTGCTCCCAGCCTCTGAACCTTCCCACGGGAGAGTCACCGAGCCCTGGGCACCCAAGTCCTGGGCTCCATGTCCTAGGATTAGGGGCTGCCGGCCCCTCTTAGCACCCCGAGGCCATTCTCAATGTGTGCTTGAGTCAGGTCTGACATGACAGCCCACCCCAAAACATCGCCTGAATCCCACAAGGAGGCATGGAGCTCCTCTCAAATGGGCAAGGCAGCCCCGTGATCAGGGAGGGCCTGGGGACCCCTGGAAAAACCGCATTTTGGTATCTGCCTAGAGTCTCCAGGGCAGGGACCTGATGAGTAACAGTGAAAACCTCTGGGGCTAGATCGCCTTACAGAAACACAGCAAAAGGGAGTCACCAAGAATCAAGCAATTCTCCTCATCCCCTTAGGCAGGCTCTGATTGAAGGGGGATGGCCTGTCTCTACAAGAACAGAGAACGGTCTCTGTTCTCTCAAGAGAGCAGGAAGGAAGCCACCTCCCCCTGGACAGCAGGGAACAGTGGCTGCAGGGCACTGTAGGCAGTGGAGGCTGCGGGGTAGGGAGGGGGGGCCCTGAGGCCTTCGGAGTGGGTGCGGGGCTGACTCACCAGGCTATGCATGATGCGCACGCCGTCGGGGTTCACTGTGAGTGCCTCCTTGTACAGCTGCTTGGCCTCCTCCAAGCTGCCCTTCATCTCGGCCAGCCGGCCCCGCATGTAGAGTACCGAGTGTGACGTGGGGAAGAGGCCCGCGGCCTCTTGGATGCAGAAGCCTGCTTCCTTGAGGTGCTGCTGCTCCATGAACAGCTCGGCTGTGAAACCAGAAGGGCAGGTGAGGCGGTGGGAAAAGTCAGAGGCAGTGGCCCCCTCCCGCATCCGACCGTCAGCCCCCGGAGTTCAGGAACTGGTCTTGGGTGATGGAAACCATCCCACCGAGACACAGCATGGGACTGGCTTGCTCTGGGGTGCGGCGGTAGCACCAGGCCGCGGTTTCTGAGCGCTCACTCTGTGTCAAGTTCATGCTCTGTGCTGCACACAGACCGACTCCACCAACACTCCCAAGACCCTATGTGAACAACGCACTTCTGTCACCCACTTCACGGAGGAGGAAGCGGGCACAGAGAGGGTAAGGAACTCGCGTAAGGCCACAGGGAGAGTAAGCGATGGAGCCAGGGTATGCACTGGGCTGTCTGACTTCAGAGCCTGGCAGTGGGGGCATGAGTGGGGTCCCCTGCAGCTAAGCGTTTGCTCGGGTGACTCTTCTGTCCCGTCACTTCCCCTATTCATCACGTATCTGGGAACAGGGGGCAGGAGGCAGATGAGGTCGCTTTCCAGGGAGGGCGGCTGACTAAAGAGCTAATCCACCTGCGTGATCAGGATGAGGACAGCCAAGTGATGCTACCACGAAGGAGGCCCAGGGAGCGCCCGCGGAGGACAGGGGTGGGGCTCACGCTGAGGAGCTACAAACCCGCCTGCACTTACTGAGAGCTGACCGTGGGCCAAGCAAGCATCTCCTCTCACTTAATCCTCAGGATTCTGGGAGGGAGGCTCTCCCGCGCCCCAGGCTGACACACCAGGCTGAGAGACGGGGGGCCTCACCCCAGTCCCTCGGTTGGAAGGGGCAGCTCCTGGCCTCCCTCCAAACTTGGGACTTTCTGTCGCATAGAGAGGAATCAGGGACGCACACGCCTTTCAACCAACAGGTGGGGAAGATCCGCCCCACAACCAGTTTGCCTTCTTCCCCCAGATCAGTAGAAAATAGGGCAGTTTCTCCAACTGCGGGCCCACCCACACAGACGCGCATTTCAGACCCACGCTGCACAGGTACACACCCACTGGAGGCACCCTCAGAAGCGCGGAGCATCGGAGGTGCCTCGCAGCCCACTCAGCGTTCGTCTCGTGGCAGCACGGGCCCGGCTGCTCCGCACAGATGGGAGGGGGTACAGAAGGGCAAGCAGAGCCGGGCTGGGGGCTTTGCCAAGAGCTGTTCCCAGCACAGGCCGAGAGCTGAGGTTACATGAGTTCAGATTAGGTCTGGGGGCTGGGGGCGGATAAGAGACTCCCCAAAGAAAGCTCCCAGAAAAGGTGGGAGACCTGGGCCCAGGCAGCCCGTCTTCTGGTTCCAACAAGCAGGAAGGAGGCCTAAGGCCTTGGCTGTAGCACGCAGCACCGGGGGCACTCAGCGTGAATGTGGCCTAAGGTCCACGGTACTCGGAGTAGCCTGAATGCTGCAGGAGGCATCCTGAGCAGGTACTCTTTTTCTCTTCTGGAGTTGAGAATTTGGGAGAATCAGAGAATTAAGTAAACTCAGAGGAGCCAGGTTCCCATGATAAGGTGCAAGGGAAGCACAGGCTCTTGTCCTCAGAGACGGCCTGAACTGGAGATTCCCACGGTGGAAAGCTTGGAAGGCCAGGCCAGAAGGGGTGGGCTTTGAACCTGGGGCCCGGCAGGGAGGACTGGCTATCTCAGCCTCGCTCTCCTCTGCTCTGCTGCTGTGTTCCCTTCCGGAGCTGCCGCCTGGGGCTCTCCGCCGGCTGCCTTCATACGTGGGTCCAATGTCCAGCGGCTGAGGACTGACCGTATGCCTGGCCCTCCCATGAGGAGGAGAAAGAGGAGAGCGGGGGGGAAGCAGAGCAGCTGAGCCACCAAACCACTGGAGTGACCGAGGGCAGTGGAGTGACAAGTGCCATCGCTGAGTGTTCTGGGCGCTCGGATGGGGTCAGGCTAGCTGTGCTGGTGTGGTCAGGGAAGTCTTCCTGGCGGAGGCGGCATCTGAGCTAGGGCCTGAAGGCACAGGGACACTTGGACTGGCAGAGAGGAGAAGGGAGGCTGTGCTGACCTGGAGGGCTGGGACCCACTGCGGCAGGACTTTTCAGGGTCACAGAGGAGAAGGGAGAAGCAGAAGGAAGTGTGTGGTGTGAGTGCTGGGCGTGGGGAGGCCTGTCCTGCACCAGCCCCTGGGGCTGCTTCCTCCATCGCCAGGAGCTGAGCTCAGAGGCCAGCTCGCCACTCCCCTGGACCTTGTCCCAGCAGACCCTCCCCAGGCCTGGCCCACCTGCCCACCTGGTCCTGGCCCGCCTCATTAAGCTGTTTACAACTTGCTGCCCTGTCTCCTAAGCCCCATCTCTGGAGGCTGGCCCCGGTCCCTCCCTTGGGAACTCTTCACAGTGCCTTCACATCAACAGATTTCAATTATAGGGATCTCCACCTTCTTTCTTCCTCGGGGCCCTGGGCCTTGTCCTGGGCCCACACCAGAGAACATACCCTGAAAAACAGGTAGGACTGCTTTGCTCCGATGAACTTCATTACCAGTTAGGCAGGAAACCAGACGACACAGAACAGAGCCAGAGAAGTGAGGGCTCCTGGCCGCTTTACGGATAGCCCCTGGCAGGCCCAGCCTCCAGGGCGGGGTCCCTGACCTACACACAGACCCACAGGTCTGGGGGCTGCAATGCACCCCTTTTTCCTAGCCTCAGCGTCCCTGGGCAGTTGTTTTACCCAACATGGTGCTCCCCAGACATGCCGCGTGGCATGGTGCCCACCCACTGCCCGGTCCTCTACCTCCCAGTCCTGGCTGCCAGGGCTCCGAGGTGCCCACACCCATCCCGGCCTCCCCTGGCCAGGGCTGGATGAGCAACCACTGTTACTGGGTTTTCCTTGAATTCTCATAGTCGAGGTCACCACTCCAGCAAACAGGGGCCTTGCTGCCCCCTCCGTGTCAGAGGCCCCTCCCTGATCCCCTTGGTTCCTTCTCTCTCCCCCTCCCTTCCGATTTTCACTTCTCTCGTCTCCCTCTCTGCCTGCTCCCGACCTCCTCTCCTGTCTGTCTGTCTGTCTGTCTGGGCTTTTCTTCTTCCTTCCATCTCTCTCCACCCACCCTCCTCTGTGCTTTCTCTCAGCAGGCTCCAAATGGAAAACATCTGTTCCCTGGAGCTTTGCAACAGTCCCTTTTATTATGTTTTTCTGAGGCATCCTGATCTAACCCTGCACCCAGAGCTGGCTCCAGTCTTCCTGCCCATCTTGCCAGTGCCGAGCCCTCTTTGCAGGAAGGAAGGCCTTGCTCAGCTGCTGCTGAGCTGAGAAGCAGGGTGAGGGAGGGCCCAGGGCCACGCTTAAGGCCTTGTAGGGGCCTCGCCAGGGGAGATGCGCTTCCTAGAGGCCCTCCGTGAGGCCCCAGAAAGGAAGGGCGACCACCCGAGCTAAAAGGGCAGGGGCCCCCAGGGCAGGAGAGAAGGTTAGACCCTAAGAAGAATACACCTTGAGCCCCAGGGGGGGTCCCCAAAACTGTCCCCTAAAGGAAATAAGCAGTTCCCCATGGAGCAAACCCTCAGGACATATGGATGCCCAGAAAAAAGTAGAAGGGAGGGTGGGGGAGGAGGAATGAGAGAGAAGGGCAGGGGGCCGGAAGGGAGAACGGCCGGGAGAGTAACACAGAGAATCCAAGGGTCTGAAGGGATTTTTCGGGTTGGTCTGAGACCCTCCATCCCTGGGATGCAGAGGGGGGCACCGTTTTCCTCAGGCCACACAGATGTCAGGGCTGTATGGGCCCGGGCTCCCGACTTCCTGTCCCGGGAGCGGTCTCCTCACGGACTCAGGAGGAGGGGCTGACGGGCAGAGAGGAGGAAAGAAGGGCAGGCAGGAGCAAAGGAAAAGAGGCCATGGGAAGCGGGCACAGAAGGCCGGAGGGAGAAGGGCAGGGAGCTGGGAAAGAATGGAGAGTGGAGGAAGATAAGGAAAGAAGTGAGGAGGAAAGAAGGAAAGAGAATTAGAGGAGACTGTCGGACCAAGGGTCAGACGTAGCTTCCGTCTCAACTATATCTTTATAATAAATACCCTCTTTAGACACAGCCCTGACTGCCCTACTCCAGGTCCCCAGCCTGCCCAGCCGACAGCAGGGGTAGCTTCCACCTTCGGGGCCACCTAAAGAGCCGGGGCAGCCCAGACAGTGTGGATCTGCCATTTGGGAGCTGGGACTCGGGCTAACTTCCCCTGACCCAGGGAAAGCCCACAGCCGCCTGTGAGCCCCTGGACCTCCAGGGCAGGGGAACTCTCCCTACACCTATTTCCCTCTCCCTAGCACGTCGTTAGCTCCCAGAGACATGAGCTGCAGTGAGAGAGAGAGGTGGGCCATCCTGCCGTTCTGGAAGGCACCTCTTGACACTCAGGATCCTGGAGCATCCGTGGGGCCGGGTGCCTCTCCCATTTTCACACGAACCCACTGGCAAAGAGGCAACATTTTTGAAACTCATCTCTCAGGCAGAAACCCTCCGTGAGGCTTCTCACATCAGACTGGGACGGGAAAGAGGCTTTGCAGAGGGAGGGGAGAATGACAGTTGAGGGATGAAGGGTATAACCTTAACCAACCTAAGACTGGGTTAATGATGGAAGCTACTGCCAAAACAGACTGGGATGCAATTTGTCTCGAACCAGACTAGGGCCTTGTTTGTTATCCCTCTGGATTTTTCAAAGTTCCTCTTCCTACTTCAGATGTAACAAGCTGACGGTGGAGCACAGCCCCATATCCCTAGCATCCTAAGGGAGCCTGATGTGCTAACTGGGGCAATATTTGCATTATTAACATGCTTCCCGGTCTAGTCTTTCTGTGAATCCTGGTCCAACTTTTCCCCCCAGATTTAGAGCCTGTGGAGGGGAGAGCGGGGGCGTCCTGCATACTAATGTGTCCATATGGGAAATCCATGCAGCGGGGAACCTTAGATCCTCAATCAACAAGCACATTCTAACTCTGACTTGCAAAATCCGCAGGTCCCAGGAACGGAATACCTACTTTCCCTCCTCTCCATCTCCCCTCGGGGCTATCGGCACCAACCCCTTGCTGAAGACGGGGGAAAATAGGAGGGTAATCAGTAAAAGGTGAGGAGCTTCACTCCTGGGTCAAGGGAGCATGTTGGCCTGGTGCATTTTTACGATTCCACTTATCCTACCGCCTTCTTTCTTTTGCTGCTGCCATTTTATCTCATTCAGGTACATCTCTGGCCTTGATTCTCTCTTTTTTCACTCTAATCCACCTCTCACACCACTGTGGGATTAAATTTTCTATCACTTCAGCGAGTCACTTCTCAGCATCCCTTAGCCAAACATCAAGGAACCTCACCGCTGGGGGTACCACGCTGCCTCTGCCTCTACCGTCATTATAGTGGACAGGACAGAAGCCCAGAACCATTTACCGAGCACCTACTATGTGCTAACTGCTTGACACACACTAGCTCATTTTAGATCAGGACAGGCAGTAAGTGAGCCGTGCAACTCTGAAGTCGCCGACCTCCCCAATACTAACAGACCCTCAAACTCCATGGTGGCAACAGTGCCCACTAGCTGTCAAGAGAGACTGTCACCCGAATGGCAACCCTAGGGTTACCAGCCCTCTGCCTTCAACGAACTTGACCACCAAGGCCTCGCCTTCTTGGGGCCAGCACATCTCACCTCTGCTCGAGCTCTCCCATGAGTTCTCAGGGGTTTGAGTCCTAACTAGTTTTCCTCAGGACACAGCTCCCCGAACTTGGGCTGCCAGGGCAGACCCGGAGGAGCCAGAGGGGGCCCTGGTGGCCCACAGGCAGGGGCTGGGTGTCACTGGGGCTGGGGACACTCACCAGCCTGGAGCCAGATCTGTTCCAGCGTGGTCCACAGCTGCATGGGGCCCTGCTTCAGAACCGAGCTGGGCACGGTGAGCTCTGACATGGCCTCCTCCAACCGGGAGGCTGCGATGGACGATGCCCTCCGAGAACCTGCAGAGCAAGGTGGGAGAGGCTGAGCCACAGAGTCCGAGTGCCCCACCGCAGGCCCCAGGACAGAGGCCGCGCGGCCCCTGGGGACCGACAGGGCATGCCGTGTCGGGGCAGGGCAGCCTGGCCCAGCAGCCGCTAAACAGCACACAGACCCACTAGGAGGGGCCCACCTCCTACCCTCACCCAGGCCAGAGAGAGGAGCTTTCTGAGGGGCAATCAGGCGGTGAGCCCACTTCTAGGAGTTAATCACTAGGGAAGAACACCATGAATGTCGGCAACTGCGGGCATTCTACCAATGCCTGGGATACCGAAGACAGAAATGGCCTGACTGTCTGCCAACTGGGATTGATTAAAAATAAGTGAGAGTATAATCATATAAGACTATGCAGTCATTAAAATAACGATGCATAAATATGGGTATCAATGCAGAAAGAGGCTGACATTATACAGTTTGGTAAAAAGCAGCAGATTGCAAAAGAGTATGATCACATTTTTACAAACAAGAAAATATGGACATGTTTCCGGAAGTCTGAAAGGCCATTTATTAAGGTCTGAGTGACGAACTGATGGATGACTTTTCCTTTTTTCCTTTTACATTTTTACTTTCTGTTTTCACAAGTGCCTATTATTTCTTGATAGAAAGGTCCCATTGGTGGTTGGGCTGTGAAGGATCCTTGGGTAGCAGCTCAGGCCAGACCCTGTGCCCTCTGGAGAACTTCTCCATGTGGCAGTTCAGAGTGACGTGGGTCCCTGTTCAGGATATATATAAGCCGTTGACATTTACAATTCACATGCAGGTGAAATGCAAGCACTTTTTTCCCTCTCTCTCAGAGGCAGTAAAGGCTCCAATAAACTCAGGAGACCTCAAGGCAAACCACAGATGATTTCAGTTTATACGGCGGGTGTATACAGAGTCCTAATAACCTTGTCCAGGGTCCTTCCCTCTCTAACTGCAAGGGAGCTACACTCTCCGTCACCACCGCTTCCTCGGAGTCCGCAGCTCCACGTCCAGCCCAGCAATCCTCAGACCTATCTCTCAAGTCAGGTGCTGGGCATGGCTTCGGAAATCAGCTCCATCACTTGACAACGAAGGCACAACTTGGTTCACCCCCACAGGAGTGGAAAAGATGAGCAATGCCACCAAATACAACTCCCTCATGCTTCCATTCCCGTGACTAATTCTGCCTGTTTTTAAGGAAGGTGTTTGCTTTAATCAGGTCCTGGGTTAAAACATGTAAGTTTGCAGATCCTGAACTTGTTTGAATTTCACAAGTCATGGACATCAGGATGAGTTTTTCCAGGAAACAACAGTCAGCTTTGGGTCTGCAGTTGTAAACAGAAGCTCAGCCCTTCCTTTCTACTCGATGGATCTACGGTGGACATTATCACAGCAGACCTTGGCCTTGAGCTTTCCTAAGGGGAAACGGTTTCCTTGCTCCACAGCTCCCTCTCCACCCCAGTCTCTCCCACTCTCTTCACTCCCCACACGGGGGTTGGGGTCCTTCGTTCGCCTACGCCAGCTGCCCACTTCCTGCCCCAGAGCCAGCAGCCATCCGGCCAAGATGGGCCCTAAAGAGGCCCGAGGTAGCACAGGCCCCTTAGCACAGTGGCCGGCAGGAGGTGGGGTGGGTTTGACCAGGCGGGCAGATGCTCAGGCTGGGAGAGGGAGCTGTGGGCCCACGTGGACGGCTGCCCACAGTGCACATTCTTACCGGAGTCTGCATCGTGGGCATCGGGCAGAGTCAAGTGCATGCCACTCTGCTTCTTCAGTGTGAGGCCCTCGCCGAGGCTGCCATCCTTTTCCAGGCCTCTGGAAGGTAAGGGAGGGCCAGGCCCCGGTGAGGTGGAGGGGGCTGGCATGGAGAATGAGGGGAGCCTTATGCCAGGCAGGCTCTGGGGCTGAAGAGTTCAGGCCCGAGAACAGAGCCAAAGACCACCACGAAGGATGGAGACAACCAGAGCAGCAGGCCAGATCGGAGCTCAGGCTTGGGATTCTAGAATCTGGCTCACCCCAGATGCTAAACCGACATGTTAGTCCTGATCACACACACACACAGGGTGCCCACTGTGTGCCTGTGGGGCCGTCAGCCTCCTCACTATTCCCTAACGCTGCCACATCTTGTTTCCAAAGCTACATGCTTACTCATGCCGCTGCCACCAAGCATGTTCTCGCCGTTCTTCTCGGTCCACCCAAACCCCGCATTGTTTAGAACCCAGCCCGAGGGCCAACATCCATCTAGAGGCCTCCTGTGGCTCCCCTGCCCTCACACTGCCTTCCCTCTCTGCTCTCCATCAGCGTGGATCCCAGCACCACGTATGCCGAGGATGAGAGCCTCTCCCATCCGTCTATTCCCTCTTCTACTTTTCGTTACCCTCTCAACGTCTAGCAGAGAGCAGGCACAGAGCGGGCACTGTGGACTGGCTTCCAAGGGAAGCCTGGTTTTGCAGCCCCCCACCTTCCAGGGAAGGAAGGCCCAGATGCCGCTCCCTGCCTCAGGTTCCCCCTCCCGGGGCTGCCAGGGTGGCCCCGGAAGAGCCAGAGGGGGGCCGAGGGTGGGAGATAAACAAGCCCCGCCAATTCCCCAGGTCCCTGCAGCTCCCACAGGGCTAGGGAGGCTCCTCTTTTCTCAAGAGTGGGATGCGGGGGGACCACCAGCTCAGAAAGGCAGCACAACTGGCTGTGCCCATCCTGGGGCACACACAGCCCCCAGGCAGCCCCTGCCCCCTGCTGCGGGGGCGGTCTGTGGCCTTGAACCTGCTGGTTGGGGAAGCTTAGAGGACTGATGCGGAAAGGGCAGGAGAGGGGAAGGCAGGCCCAGCTGGGGGCCAGAGGCCTCCTCCCTTCAGAGGGGCACCAAGACGATGGTCCCACAAATAACGCCAGAGCCGGGGTATCCTTGCCATCCTAACTCCGGTTCACGTTGAACTTGGTTCTTTGGGTGCACAGCCATCTTTGTGGGCATTAGAGGAAACCATCCACAGAAACATAGTTGGTCGGGCTGGTTCTCACCTCTCACATCCCCTTCTCATTCCCGGGAGGCACCTGAGTGCAGGGCAAAAGAGCCGGGGACTCTGGGGGAAAGCCACGCGGCTGCCCTCCTTAGCTATGTGAGCCTCGGCAAAGCTACTTAACCTTTCTAGATCTTAGCCCTCTCTTCTTGAGATGATCACAGTTATTTTGTGCAGTTAATGAGCATGAGAATGTCCACCTCACGAGGTCATTGTGAGGACCAAATGAGAACATGGACAGTTGCCCAGCCTGTGCTGGCCTGGAGCGGATGCACAGACACAGCTTCTCGTCCTGAAGCGGGCTCTCCTAGGGCTCCAGAAACAGCTCATCTTGGGGACCTCTTGCCTCCTGGTTCTAGGCCCCTACCCTGAAGAACCTGACAGCCAGATGGAAGGAGACAGTCCAAGTTGAGCATTTAACAAAGACCCAGATGGAGAGAGGGCTGTGCCGGGCCATCAGAGGCCGGGCACTGGAGCCTCCTGGAGGGGCCGGGCACTGGAGCCTCCTGGAGGGGCCGTGTGGGCTGGCGCCAGGCAGAGCAGAGGAAGGCGGTGAGGGAGCAGAGCGGAGGTGGAGCCTTGGAGCCGGCAGGGTCGGGTGGGGCAGGCCAGACCTTCAGGCTCTGGATTCTGGCCTTGATCCTTGATTGCCCCAGCCCAGATTTTACAAGCCCTAGTTTCTGCTCTGTGGCTCCACAGTTCAGAAAGAATGCTTCCTCTTCTTGGGCAAGCCAGGAGGGGACTGGATCCAACCCTTCGGTCCCAACAATTTGCCTGCAGGTAGCTGGCCGGGCTGAGCTCTGCTCCACCCTGGGTTGGTGGGGCCAGGGGCCGTTTGCCGGGGAGTTCCCCAGAGATGAGGCTGCAGGTGGTGACTTGAAAAGACCCCAAGGCAAACCCGACCGCCCCATCCTGGAGAGCACCTGACAGCTCCACAGCTCTGCTGCTCCCACAGGGGTGGCACAGGCTAAGCCCTACACGCTGGAGATGAGGCTGCAGCTCAGAGGGGCCCCATCATGATCGCCTGGATGAGCAGGCAACTGGCCACCCCGCTAAGAGGCGCTCTCTGCCAGCTCTGGCAACAGCTCCTCTCTGCAAGGGGAGCCAGGCTGTGCACCTGCGGGACCTGTCACAGCCAGTGAGTGGCAGAGCGAGGGGCATCCAAATGCGGGCCCCCCTCACACCAGAGTCTGGCCCTCACTCTCACAGCACCCAGCTGCCAGGTGGTTCCCCATTTCCTTTCTGAAAAGTCCCTCACCCCAGAGCTGCCTGCTGGCAGCTTCCACCCACCGGTCCTTTTGGGCCCTGGAATCTCCCAAGCCCAAAGGCCTGCAAAGAGAGGGCCGACCCTACCCTGCCCAAGGATTTTATTCCATCAGATTATCTTGAGGCCTCCTCTGTAAATTGCACCTTTAGAGATATTCCTCTGGGGATTCTAAGAGGTTGCTGGGCTGCCGGAGTCCCTGTGAAAATACATATACCTACCAGAGTGGGGTCCCTTGAGGAGGTGACACAGCCAGACAAGGGGAGGAGGTGGTACCAAGGGACCGGGAAGGGGCAGTGCACCGCCCCACTTGGAAATGAGGCCCATTTCTGCTTTGGGCTGTATAGGCTGAGCCCAGGTGTCCCAGTAGGTCTGAGCAAAGACTTTGCAGATTTGGCCTGGACAAGTGGTGCCCTGCTCTGGCCCAGGAGAATCCCAGAGCTTGGGCTGGGGACTGGGGAAGGAGATGGGATGTGTGGGGACAGTGGGTGAGTGGGGAGGAGTGGGGGCCCTTTTAGAACTCAGCTTCCTCCTCCCCTCCTCTCCCAGCTTCCGAATGGAATCAGGAAAGAAGGGACAGGCTCCATAGGCTGGGGCTCCGGAGATCCAGGTTCAAGCTCCACTGCTACCATTTACAGGAGAGTGGCTCTGGCATGTTATATAAGGTCTCTGAGTCCCAGTTTACCCCCTGGGGTGAGGTAAAATCTGACAGTGGATAAGATAAAAGCAGCTGATGGGGGAGATGCTTAATAATGATTTCTCTTCCCTCTTACCCCTCTGAACTTTAGTTTCCTAAACAGCCTCTTTCTGTCCTTCATAGAGGATTGTCAAAAGGTTAAAATTAGAGCAGGGATGTAAAAGGCCCCAGAAGCAGTAAGTCCCATTCCCTCATTCAAACATCCTCACCACCTCCACCCACCAGGCGTCATGGCCACTCAGCTGTGTGCTGCTGCCTTGGCAACCACCGCCTCCCAACTCCATCTGGAGGGACCCGCCACTCACCCCAGCTGGGAGAAGCTGTACAGGGTCTGCCACAGCCGCAGCATCTGTCTGCAGGTCACAAGGGCTTCCTCTGGGCCTTTCAGTATCTGCTCCAGCTTCACCTTGGTGAACATCAGGCTGTGGAGAGAGAGCACGGCAGTCAGAATGCCTGAGGGGGCCCCCTTCCCCTGGCTTTCCTCCCAGGGTGGAACCCAAGGGATTCTGCCCACCTCCCCAGCCCTTAGAAGGCAGAGTGCCACAAGCACAGTGGCCTCAGCTGTATCCCTGGACCGCGTGTTCCCTCTGTGCCTCAGTTTCTCCATCCTCTCTGCCAAAGCGCAGAGCACTCTTCTGCATTCACCAGTGTTCCTGTCGCTCACGCTTGTCCCCTGATGGTGCACTATCCCACCCAGCCTCTGAAGCACTGTCCAGCGTGGTTACGGTCTGGCTTTCTTTGCCCCTCCTCTCCCTGCACACCCTCGGCTCTGCAGCATCCTCACTGAACACGTGCCTATCTTTTTACTTATATGGCCCACCAGGCCCATGACGGGGCCTTATATAAGAGACCCAGAAGCAAACTTTGACTCAAGGAATGAGGCTACGCAAGGGAACTGGTGAAAAGGTCACAGAAGGGCACAGGGTTCTGCTTTCTGCCTCGCCAGCAGGCAACAGGTGCTCAGTTAACATCTCCTAATTGGATGCAAACTGTATCCTGACCCTGTATACCTGAGGAGGGTCAGGTTTTACTCTGTCCAAGGATTCTTCCCTGGATAGCCAGAAATTGCCAGCCCTCCTTATACATTCAACAGGATGAAAGTGACATGAAGTCTTATTCCGTCACCGTTTAGAATCTCTCTCAACCCCCAACCCTGAAGTCCTCTGGGGTAAAAGCAGTGGGGATGTGGCCCTGAGAGGGCCTGGGAAGAGAGAGAAAGTGCTGGCCCACCGGGAGGCAGGACGCAGGGCTGGCTGGCTGCCTCCCTCTGCCCAGGACACAGACAGACGGGCAGAACACTGGCTCAGCATGACCAGGATGGGGTCTGGATGCCCTGTGGTGCCAAGTGATAGATATTTAACTGCTGGGGAGTCTGGGGTCCTGGGGAGGGTCAAGGCAGTGGCTGTTTACCCACACATATGGAAGCACTGCCATCTTTTTACCACGGGTACTGCCAGCCACACTGACGCGCACCAGCCTGCGGAGAACCTGGCCGAGGCACTGAGGCCCAAACAAGGCTGCGACTCCTGGTTCTCTGTGGGTGGTGAGCAGTGACACCCTTCCGTTCACGGCACTGCTTTTGGGCAAACCCGAGTATCAGGCCCTGAATTTGATTGTTGCCTGGTGGTGCTGCCGGCCCACCTGAGGGTGGCACACAGGCCCTCGTGGATCACAGAAGCCGAGTCCTGTGTGGAGACAGGGTGCACCCCCATGACCGAGGCTGCAGCAGAGGGGAGGCCCCACACTGGGAGGTCAGGCCTCCACCTGGGGGCTTCTCCCTCTGACCTTCCCCCTCAGTCAGGGCCCTGGCCTCCCCTGCTTGCACTGAGTCCTGGGCCTCCAGCCTCACAAAGGACTTGGATGGCTTCACTCCATTCCTTTCTTCTCACACCTTGTTTTTCTCAGATTGTGACTTGTTGGCAGAGAATTAAAAGGGTGGAATTTGCCCCTTTTCGGTGGAGAGGGTTTGGGTTCTGGGCGAGTGTTATTTTTCTTCCTCACTTTCCCTCAAAAATCCATGTCCCTCTCTGCCCCTGCTCACAGGGTCGTCCCCACCACCACATGGCCTCTCCTCTCCTTTTTCATCCCTTCCCCCATGCTCAACTGTAAATCCCACCTCCCCCAGGAAGCCTTCCCAGACTCTCAGGATGCCCTGCACCCTCCTTAGAACATTTACTAACGAATCGCCCGGCAGGCCTACGAGGTCCAGAGGGCAGAAAGCGTGTTCCCCACAGTGCAGACCGCACGGGCCTCGTCAGGAACGTGGTCTCAGTGCCCCGCTGGGAGCTGCTGGGGACCCTGGTCTTGCCATCCCCACTCCCCTTTCCCGGACTCTCAAAAGGTCCAACACTCCACAAGTATTAGGAGCCTCTGCCTTAGGAACATGAAATAGAAGACACAATTTCTGCCTTCAGGGTGACAATCAGTGCTAAAAATGACAAATTGCCCAGAGAATCAAGATCAGACTGTATTTTTGGATCAGACTCAGTGCAACGAAAGAACAGATGAGGGGTCTTGCCGGGGCTGGTGTTTGATGAAGAGGAGGGTGGGGTGGGATACAGTTGGGAGCTGGGGGAGGGAAGAGAAGCATGGGGGAGGGGGAGGGCCTGCGGCGGGAACAGGTGTTGGTGCGAGTGAAAGCTCCTCCCCCTGGAGGGTCGGGTCACCCAGGCTTAGTCCACTCCAAGGCTGCACCTCCCCTGGGCAGGGCCACTGGGAGCCATCCCTGGGCAGACCAGCCCTGCAGCATTCCCCTGCTCCCAAATTCCCCCAGACAGGCCTCCTCTGCAGCTCGCCCCTCTCCACCCCGTCCCTTTCCCCTACTGCTGCCTGAGCCCCTGAGAGCCAGCAGGGCTCTGTGGCAGACCTGGCCACACCGTGTGCCCAGAACAGAAGTGGCTGAAAGCTGAGCTGGCATTACAGTGACTTCTACCAACGCAGACCCTGACATTCCATTAGCATGAGTGACCCAGAGCGGAATTTCTCAACCCAACCACGTCCTTTCTGGGCTGGGGCAAGCACTCCGACAGTCACACACTCCGGTTGGATCCCTCACTCCCAGATCCTGGGAGGCTCCAGATTAGCTCCTGAGATTTCCTTGGTCTCGCAGTTCAGCGCTGCCAGAACCGTCTTCCTCAACAAGGGGCCCTGCCCCGACTGTCCACGCCACCTTCCATTCCTGCCACCTCTCCCCATGACCTTGGGTACCTGTGGGCTGCTCACAGGGTATAAGCAGCTCCCTGCCGTGCAGGACAGGCTTTCTTTCACACTGTCACCCCTGCTGGGGCTCACCCTTCCTCTCTGACATCTGGCCAACTCCTAACCAGATGTCACCCTCTGACCTTCTGTGCGTCCCCTTCTGCACCCCGCCTCAAGCCCCACGGCCTTTACTGCATCGTGGGGACTTAGTCATTCACACACGGCGGCCACGCCTCTAATTCACCACTGAACTCTTCTGCCTGGCAACGGGGATCAGCAAACAACCCCGCTCCTTGCCACTCTTCTGAGACAACCAAACCACCGGTCCTGCTGGAGCACAGGTCTCCCTCTCCATCCCATCTGCCGGGATGGGTGGCCCAGTTCTTCACACAATGGTACGAGGAGGCTGGCAGTGCCCTAGGGTGCCACTGTGGCTGCTGGGGTCCACACCAACAGGCCAAAGCCTCATCAGAGCACCGTGCTTTGTGGATTGGGGCCGTGTGGAGGCCGCTGCAGTGAGGACTGGGGAATACAGGGGGCGAGCCCGGGCTCCCCGCTCCCTTCAAACAGCCCAGCCCCTGGCATACCTGTTTTATATGCTGAATGAGTCTAAAATGTCATCGCAAGAAAGGATTCTGAGACTTAAAAAAAAACCCCACAATTTTAATCCAACGGTTCCAGTCCTCCTCCAAGAAGCGTGGCCACCCCTGCCCTTCCCTGAACGCTCAGGACAATCTTCAGTTAGCACTTAATTACTCTCTCTCTCTCTCTCTCTCTCATATATGTATGTATGTGTGTGTGTACACACACTTTTTTTTTTTTGCCACATAGGCTTATGCTTTTAACAATGAAGATAAACTCATATCAAGCACTGAAAAATTCAAATACTCTAGAAAGAGTCTGCAGCCAGTCCTGCCTATAGATGGCAAAACTACCATTTATCTTGTCCTGTGTCCTGCCGCATGTCCCCACCTGGATGACGACTGCCTGCAGGACAGGACCCTGCCTCCCTCTATGTCAGTGCCCTCCTCGCCTCCCAGTGCCTGGCAGAGAGCTGAGCACATGGTGTCCGCTTAGCTTAACACTATGAAAATGCGTGTTGTTACAACCCTCCAGCCACGCTCTGCGTCTCGCAATCCATGTTGAATCAGAGCCGGCTTGTGACAGCCTCACGTCCCGCTGCTGGCTCCTGGCTAGGAGGCAGGCGAGGAATCTGCTCACTGATGCCTCAGAACTGCGGAGAGGGCTGGACTCACGCAGCCCACAAGCAAAGTGCTGGCTGATTCCACTTTAAGCTGTCCAGAAGCAAAGTTTCCCGGGGCCTGGGGAGGAACAGGGAGTTCTGGACGTGGCATGAAAGCGTCTGGCTCCATGTGACTGGGGGTCTTCATCCCAGAGGACAGTCACCCGGGCAGAGCCAAAAGCACAACTGAGGAGAGTCTCTGAGACAGGAAGGCTGGGGTATTGGAATCTTGCAGCCCTCCAACGACCTGACAAAAGCCATTCCGGAAGAGGAATGGCCACATTGCTGTCCTAACCCTGCACTGTAACGTCACTCGGTAGACAGACACTGGCCCAGGAGTGAGAAACCCGAGCCAAAGTCCCAGCTTTGCTGCTACCCAGCTGGGCATGTCACAGGTTCCAAACCTGTGAAATAGGAGTGGAGTCTCTTGCCCTGTCTGCCCCAGGGACTCCTGCAGGATGAACTGTGATGACCCAGAAGCAGCAGCTGAGAAACCCACAGCTGTACTAAGTCCTTAAGCACAGGCCTGCCCAAGGCTCAGGGAAGGGATTCCTTTAAAAATGCAGGCCTAGCAGACCCCCCCCAAAGCAGTGTCCAGGCCAGGTGTCTCTGAGGGCTCTCAGAAAACGCCAGAGCTTCATGGCCTGTTCAGCAAGGCAGGTGGCACCTTTGGCTCCAGGTGGCTCCTGGGACCAAAGATGGGCATGAGAAAGGAGGAGGATCAGCGGGCAGGGGCAGAGCCACAGCCGACCGGGTCAGGGTGAACGAACCTCGGCCGTGACCTTGTCTTGCAAGCACCTTCCTGTTTTTTAAGATGTAGAATAAACACTGAGGTCTTTTAAGGCCGAACGCCTTTGCAGCGCCGCCACTGCATCTGAAGGCAGATGTGGAAGTGAGAGTTCTCTCCGGGGAAGGCGAAGGAGCAAGCGTCAGCGTAAACGCCGTGCCCGCTGTCCCCGCTGCACGGGCGAGGCTGCTGGG